GCAGGAGCCAGGAGCCAGGTGCTTTTCCTGGTCTCCCATGGGGTGCAGGGCCCAAGCACCTGGGCCATCCTCCACTGCACTCCCTGGCCACAGCGGAGGGCTGGCCTGGAAGAGGGGCAACCGGGACAGAATCCGGCGCCCCGACCGGGACTAGAACCCGGTGTGCCGGCGCCACTAGGTGGAGGATTAGCCTAGTGAGCCGCGGCGCCGGCCTGCTCCTCACTTTGGATCGGAGCAGCTCCAGCCATTGCGGTCAACTGGGGAGTAAACTAGCAGATGAAGACTTTCTCTCTCTCTCTCTCTCTCTGCCTCTCCTTCTCTCTGTGTAACTGACTTTCAAATAAATAAATCTTTAAAAAAAAATAAAGATAAGGCCACAATTCCTGCGTCCCTTGAATGCTCTATATAAAGTCTTTCCCAAAAATGCCTTAACAATTGTGATTACATTTGAAATCTCTAAATCTAGCCCTAAAGAAGCTGAGTATAAGCTCATGGGCAACGGTCCTCCAATTTGGATAGATGCTACCACCTGAACACTGCCAACTATGTATCAACGTGCAGCCCAAACACTCAGTTTCTGATACACAACATAATCATGGTTTGGCGGAATGGCAGATCCAAGGGGACACAAGAAGCAAAATTCTGTTGTTACTTACTGTAAACAACAAACATTTTAAGAGGAATGAAAGGTTAAGTCTCTCCAGCCTGATGGCAGGACCTGTGTCTTATTTACAAATCTTTCTGCAGCACCAAAAACATGGAACACAGAAAATCAACAGATAACGGAATTGAACCATAATCTTTTTTATTCCCTATTTAGTTTCAAAGTACCACTTTCCCTTCTCAACATCTAAATTCCTGTTTCAAGGATGGAGTAAGCAAAAAGATCCCTGGGTAGTTTATTTCTACCTCCCAATGCAGCTCATGTATTAAATTCAGATTATAAAACCAGTCATTCCCAGCTGTACAAAATGATGCATCCCCAGCTACAGCCACAGTCACCTGAATGGGATCCACATCAAAAACCAGGGAGATGAGACTTACTGGGAACAACCTTGCAGAGATCACTGCACATCAGCTACCTCGGATAATCATCCTCTGGCCCTTCAGTCTTAAATATAAAGGGACAACCCCACCTAACAAACGAGAAAATCCAGTAGCATGAATAAGAAAATCCTAGGAGCTACTAAATTGTCAGGAAGCAGATAATCTAGGATATGACAGAAAATTTTTCTCCCCCAAGAACCCTGGAGGGAGTTACCTCTGACAGACTTTCCGAGACTCTCTAAAGGAAGGGAGAGAGCCACAACCTGGACAGCACGAGATGCAGGAAACAGACTCCAACCCAGGCCTGCAGGGAACAGTCTCAGGACAAAGTCTGGTCCATCAGACAGATGGACAGCTCCAAGGAAAATGAGGACTCCCATAGAACAAACAGCATGGAGGTGGGCACTGGGTGCAGCGGTTAGGGCAAGGAGTCACATTGGGACACCTGCATCCCATAGCAGAGTGCCTGGTTCAAGTCCCAGCTCTGATTCCAATTCCAGCTTATTGTTAATGCACATCCTGAGACACAGTAGGTAATGGCACAAGTACTTGGGTCCCAGCCACTCCTGTCAGAGACCCAGATTGCATTCTGAGCCCCTTGGTTCAGCCTGATCTGGCTCTAGCTGCTGTGGACATCTGAGGAGTGAACCAGCAGGTGGAAGATCTCTGTGTCTTTCAAATAAATAAAAATTTTTTTTAAAAAAAGCATGACTGAGAAGCTGGATAAATGTTGAGGTTGAGATAAAAGCACATTGTTCTTTAGTCAAAAAGAAATAAAACCTTCAATAAAAAAAAACTCAAAAATCAGTTCTGATCCTTATATAAAAATTTTATTTCAAGTAACTAGACTTTAGAATTTAAACACACAAATATTTCCTTAAAATTAATTATCCTGGGAAGCTTTATGCATATCCCAGTGACATTACCATCACTGAAAACATTTCTAAAACTCATTTTGGAATAGTCTTTAAGAGCTAGATAAGAACTCAGCAAAAATTTATTTTGTGGTCACACCTAATTTTATTGTTTCCCAACTGGTACTGTCTAGCTTTATTACTCTAATTTCATTTGTCAGAATTACCCTTTTTAAAAATCAGATTCTGGAGACCAGCACTGTGGCGCAGTGGATTAAGCTGCAGCTCACAACTCCTGCACTCCATACCAGAATGCCAGTTTGAGTCCCTGCTGCTCTGCTTCCAATCCAGCTTCCTGGTAATGCGGCTGGGAAGGCACTGGAAGGTGGGTCCCTGCCACCCACGTGGGAGACCAGGATGGAGTTCTTGAATTTGGCCTGCTCCAGACCCAACTGTTATAGCTATCTGGAGAGTGACCCAGATGGACACTCTCAATCTCTCTCTCTCCCGTCTTCTCCATGTCATTCTTCCTTTCTGCTTGTGATGCTGGCATCCCATATCAGAGTGCTGGTTTCAATCCTGGCTGCTCTGCTTCTGATCCAGCCTTTTTTTTTTTTAAGATTTATTTTTTTAAGATTTATTTTATTTGAAGGCAGAGTTACAAGAGTCAGAGAGAAAGAGAGAGAGAGAGAGGTCTTCCATCCACTTGTTCATTCCCCAGATGGCCGCAACGACCAGCGCTGCACTGATCTGAAGCCAGGAGCTTCTTCCAGGCCTCCCACACTGGTACAGGGGCCCAAGGACCCAGGCCATAACAGAAAGCTGGACAGCAAGTGAAGCATCCAGGACTCAAATCAGCACCCATGTGCCGTAATGCAGGCAGCAGCTTTACCCGCTATGCCACAGCACCAGCCCAGGATCCAGGTTCTTGCTAATGTAGCTGGGAAGGCAGCAGTTGATGGCCCAAGTATGTGGGCCCCTGCCCACCCATGTGGAGACCAAGATGGCGTTCCTGGCTCCAGCTTGGCACAGCCTTGGCCATTTAGGGAATGAACCAGCAGATGGAAGATCTCTGTCTCTTCCTGTCACCCTGCCTTTCAAATAAATCTTAAAATAAAAAATAAAAATTTGATTCTTTACAAATAACAAAAATTTGCTACCACTGCAAATATTCAAAAAAAGGACTTTGGAGACTATAAAGACAATCTGTTCAGTTTGCTTCAAGTTACATTGGGAGGATGTGTTCACTGTGTTATTTGAAACTATGTAACTGGAGATATTAAGGCTGTAGAAAGTTAGCCAATATCGAAAAATACACTGCTAAAAAAAAAATGCTCTCCTCTCCTGGTACATCTATAATTTTCTGAGGTGTTAGGCTGCCTATGACCGTCAGATCTCTAACAACTGACACTCAACTCATCAGGGGCTAAAACAACCTGTCCAAAACGGCTCATGCACAAGAAAACTATTCTTCAGACAATGGTAAGGAAATCTGTTTTGTATATTGTCTTTTTGTTAACAGTTGTAGAATGGACTGAAGCCAAAAGAATTCTTTCAGAACTCACTGTAGGTAGTATCATCTGACTGAAATTCGTCTACTTTTCCCAGAGGTGACACTTAACAGAATTTTTAAATTTTCAAGGTCAATCACAAATATGGTCTCCATTTTGATCCTGACAAACTTCTTTTTCTACTTTATTAGATGCTCAGAAACTTACATCAGAAGTAGTTTTAGGCTTTAGTAACCAAATTTATCTCTGCATGGCTCGAAATGAAGAAAAAAAAAGCTTGGCAGACGAAGGCAATATCTAAGCTTTTACTGAGACTATTTATTTTAAATGCTGCTTATCCAACTTCAATCTATTTAATTTAAAAAGCCAAAGCAGAGCTCCAGCTACATAAGATTTAACAGCTTCTAGCTTGGCCAGCTCAGCCACTAACCAGAGCTAACCCAAGGTTTTGGTCGTTGCTTTTGCACTTCTATTTTAAATAGTAATTTAGTCCGGAAGGGACGGCTCACTCAGTTTCCCTTTTCTTCTCTTCAATCATGACTCAGAGCTGCACTTGCCCCTTCAATTTCATAATCTGACAGAACCATAGCCCTATCTCCTGGGTGCACGGAGAGGAAAACCACTTATCAGACAAAATAATTAACCAGCAACTTGTAAGGATGCTCCCGAGTTAAGATTTCTCTCCCAGCCGGGAGTTTGCTCAAGTCGTGCCCTGGCTTCTGGCGGATCTCGGGCAAGTCAGATTTTCTGCCTTGCTCTCCGAGGAGGGTACAGAAACCCCACCTCCAAGCCTGGAAACGTAAACCCTGACCCACGCTCGGCCACGCACTCACCAGCCGGCTGAACCTCAGGCTCAATCAATCACTTCATTAGCCCCACCTGGGCTCCATCGCCCCACCCCTCTAATGGCGGTAACAGAATCAGTCCAACTGAGGAGGAGGAGGTTCACGAGAGACAGTCAGGGGGGGTTCCCGGACGCGTAGACCCCGAACGCAACCACCCAGGGGTGAGCGCTCTCGCTCCCTAGGCGAAACTCAAAGCCTAAGTTAGCTCCCTGCTCACCAGCAAGACAAGGGTTGGGCGAGCACAAGCCACGCGAACCCCTGGGGGGCGCGAGGAGCCAGGTCCACCGGGGAGCCGCGGGCGGCACAGAGGCGGCGAGAGACCAAATCCCGACCTGGCGTCCGAGCGCCCGCCGCCCACGGCACAGGGGGCGGGGAGGAGGGCTGCCCGGGCCGCACCTCGCGCCCACAGCGTCCCGGCCCGCGGTGCCACGTCCCGGCCTCCGTCCCCGCCACCCCTCACCCCACCCCGGGCCCGGGGCACAGCCTCCAGACGCCGCTCGGCTCCTCCGCCGCAGGCGCCCCCGCTGGGCCACACCTCGCACCGGGGCAGGGCAGGGGGCAGTTAGAGCGGTTGGGACAGTTGCTCCCCGGGCTGGCCGTCCCCGCACCTGAACCCAGTCCCGGCCCGGCCCGGCGGGGCCTCAGACAAGCCCCCGGGCCGGGCAGTCTCCCCAGGGACAGGCCCTACGGCGCCGCCCGCCAGGCTCGGCCTCCTCGGCAGGGGCCCCGCACCGCGGGCTCACCTCCAATGTGTCAAAAGCGCATGTTCGCCGCCGGCTGACCGACGCCTCAGCTCCGCTGGCCTGGCCAGGCCCGCCCAGCCGCTCAGCTCCGCTTCCCTCCGCAGCCCTGAGCTCCACTCCGCGCACCTCCGCGCCCGGCTCCTCCCCGACACGTCAGGAGCTGCCTGGGTGTCCGAGGCCATTCTGTGACGCGCCGGGGGCGGAGTTCGGCGCATGCGCGCGAGTGCGCGGGCGCGCGGGGCGGGGCCGTGGGGAGGCCGGGGGTGCAGGGGGCCGGCACGAGCCCGGCGCGCTGACGTCAGCGGGCGGCGTCCTTCTGCGCAGGCGCCTCCAGGCACCCACGACCTGCTAGTTTAGGCCGCTGCGGTTGCACGAAAAAGCGGTTCCTTGGCGGGGGCGGGCAGAGGGGCATTTGGAATCATAGTTCAAAAAGATGGACATTTTAGGGAGTGGAAACTTAGGAGAGCCATTTTAGAAACAACCTTGCTGTGTGATGTGCAATGTAATTCTAATTTCAGGGCTCCTAGGATTGGATTGTGGGACTTTAGAGGTACAGTCATAACGTGTGAGACAGGCTTGAGAGAGAGCAGGATGAGCCTCGGAGGCCCAGTTCTGCCTTTCGTGGAGATGGACCGTACCCAAGCTCAAAGGGATTAATGGGGTTTGTGGCAAGGCGAGCACCTTGAGCCAGACCGAAGGATATGGGGTTGGAAAAAAAAATGATGAGTAATGTGCCTTAGTTGTGCAATTTCTATCTGCTGGCAACTGTGCCAAACACTTGACTGGCGTTTTTTCAGCTTCCAACTGACCGCATTAGATAGCTGTTACTCCCATTTTACAAATGAGGAAACAGCACCGTGAAGTCGCCCACGGTCACTAAACTCTGAAGAAGAGGACTCAGGATGCAAACCCACCCAGTATGGATTGTCTTAACCCCGGCAACCACGCTTAACTACTTCTAGCCTTCTGCTCAGGAGGTTGGAACAGTAATAAGTTACAGGGCTAAAGCTAAGTGCTTGCTTTCACAGCATGACCTTTCTTAGTCCTCCAACGGGCCTGTGAGGTCAGAGCTGGTACCTGCTTCCTACATGCTGTAAACTAAGACCCAGGAAGCTGGGGGTTACACTCAAGCAGGTCTTCCTCCCAGGCCAGTGGCCTGGGACATCCTGGAATTTCATCCAGGCTCTTGGGCTGTGCCTCTGCTCAGGCTGATGAGCTCACAGGCAGGGAGGTCAGTCATGGAGGCTTTCCTGTGGCCCTGGTGCCAAGACGGAAAAGTCCCACCCCAAGAGGAAAAAATAAAGGCTGCAGCTCTCTGCCTCCTGGCTGAGGTGCTAGGAAAGGCGTTGAGTCATCTAATGGCAGGCTAGGCCTATCAGTAAGTGTAGACGTCATCTTCCAGCCAGCCTGCTCCTCCTCCCATGCAGCCTGCACCTAGAGCCGGTGTTTATCAGAACCGGTGTGTTGGCCTCATCTTAAGGGGTGGGCTTTGCTTGCTAGGATTCTCAGAGGCATCACAGGCCCTATACTGATGTCCTTCTCTCTTCTTGGTTAAACTTTCTCCCTGGGAGCTGGGCCCTGAGGGGCAGAGTGAGCAACAATAACTTTTGCCCAACACCCTGCTTCTGATACGCCACACCTGAGGACTGTGAAGTGGACAGGAAGGTGGAAGACAACCAGAAGAGGGGACACGAGCCCTAAGTTAGCTCCCTGCTCGCCAGCAAGACAAGCCCTATTAGGAAGGGGTTTGCTGAGGCATGGTCCTGATACAAGGTTTTTGTTGGAATGAGCCAAAGTGTGTGTATGTGTATGTGTATGTGTATGTGTGTGTGTGTGTGTGTGTGTGTTTGTGTGTGTAGGGGGTGTCAATGTGGGGCTGGCATTGTGGTGCAGCGAATTAAGCAGCTGCTTGCAATGCTGGCATCCCCTATCAAAGTACCAGTTCAAGTCCTGGCTACTCTACTTCCTGTCCAGCTCTGAGCTAATGCACCTGGGAAAGCCATGGAAAATAATGGCTCAAGTACTTGGGTGCTTGTCACAGGAGATCCACATGGAGTGCCAGGCTCCTGGCTTTGGTCTGGCCCAGCCCTGGCCAAGGTAGCTATCTGTGGTGGACCAGCAGATAGAAGATACCTGTGTCTACCTGGCTGTCTTTCAAATAAATAAAACTTTTTTAAAAGATGGGTAGGGTCAGTGTTACAGTTCCTGAAAGCGTGCTTGAACATCCTAACATCTTCCCTGCCAAAAACTCTGAGATGCAGGAAAAGGGAACAGGTCCCATCTTGGAAAGGGCTGAGGTTGACCAGCTGCCGTGAGCTTGCTGGAACTGGGCCACAACACACACTCACAAGAAGGATGCAGTGCACACAGGCCCACTGTGGAAATTCTGTGCAGTGGGGCCTAGTTAACTCTACTGAATTAGATGAACAAGACATCTCAAAATCAAAGACTTGGGGAGTTGGTGTTGTGGCACAGGGGGTAAAGCCACTGCCTGCGACACCAGCATCTCACGTGGGCACCGATTCATGTCCTGGCTGCACTACTTATTTATATTTTATTTATTTATTTATTTATTTATTTATTTGAGAGGTAGTTACAGACACAGAGAGGCAGAGAGAAGTCTTCCATCTGCTGGTTCACTCCCCAAATGGCCACAACAGCCAGAGTTGAGCCAATCTGAAGCCAGGAGCTTCTTAGAGGTCTCCCACGTGGGTACAGGGACCCAAGCACTTGAGCCATCTTCTGCTGGTTTCCCAGGCCAGAGCAGAGAGCTGAATCAGAAGAGGAGCAGCCGGGACTCAAACCAGCACCCTTATGGGATGCTGGCACCGCAGGCAGAGGCCTAGCCCACCAAACCACAGCTCTGACCCTTGCACTGCTTTTGATCCAGCTCCCTGCTAATGTATCTGGGAAAAGTGGCAGAAGATGGTCCAAGTGCTTGGGCCCCCTACCACCCGAGTGGGAGATCCAGAAGAAGCTCCTGGTTCCTGACTTTAGCCTATCCTAGCCCTGGTAGCCATCTGGGAGTGAACCAGCAGATGGAAGACCTCTGTCTCTCCCTCTCTCTCTAACTCTTTCAAATAAATAAAATTTTTAATGAATAAAATAAAATCCCACTATGTACAGAGCATCCCTGGCTCCAAAACTTGTCTTGGCCTCTTGTTAGCTAGGTGATAAAGTGCAAACCATGCATTCTGGAAATCAAGGCCCTTCCAAAGCAACTCCAACTAACTTCTACACGCTGCATCCTGCAGCTCACCAATCCAGAACTCTGCACTCTGTCCCCCAGGTGGACAGTTCCCTTGCTCTCTCTGGGCCTGACAGCTGCTCCCTGGGCTTTGCCAGCCCGGCTCCTCCCCTCTGCCTGTTCAAGTCTCACTCAATGCTTCCTCCTCACAGATTTACTGAACAAGGCCTTTTAGTCACATAGTTGTGCCATCTCCCCCCAGGAACAAAAACCCATTGAGCCCAGGGAAATGCTGATTGTCCTAATATCTTCCCCGCCCCACTCCCCAAACAGGCATGACACTTACTTAGCACTCAATAGACTTCAATAAAACTGAAAGGATGAATCATTGGCTTGGTGACTATAACCCCAAATGTAAGACTTACAGAACTTTCTGGAAAATGCCCTAAATCTGGAATAGAAAAAACTCCATGGATAGAGGAAATTTTCGCTGTTATGAAAGACCAATTTTAGGGGATGCCAGGTTACAAAGGGACTGGAATTTACATTATAGGCAATTATGCTTTTTCTTTAGCCTTTTGTAATTTAAACAATAGTTGTAGAGGCTGGTGTTGTGGTGCAACACATTAAGCCACCACTTAAAATACCAGCATTCCGTATCGCCGTCCCGGTTCAAGTCCTGGCTACTCCATTTCCAGGCCACCTTCCTGCTAATGTGCCTGGGAAAGCAATGGATGTACCTGGACACCTGCCATCCATGTGGGAGGCCAGATGAAGATCTTGGCTCCTGCCTTCAGCTGGCCCAGACCTGGCTGTGTGGCCATTTGGAGAGTGAATCAGTGGATAGATGATTCTCTCTCCCTCTCTCCCTCTGTTTCTCCCTTTCTCTTTGATGCTCTGCCTTTAAAATCAGTAAACATATGTTTAAAAAAATAATAGTAATGGGGTGGGCATGTGACGTGGCAGTGAAGACACTGGTCAAGGCACCTATGTGGCCTTAGAGTACCTGGGTGGGATACCCAGCTCTGGCTCCTGGCTCCAGCTTCCTGCTTATTGGAAAATAACAGTGATGACTCGAGTAGTTGGGTTCCTGGCCCCACATGGGAGATCTGGATTGAATTTCCAGCTTCCACCTCAGCCCTAGCCTTGGCCCAGCCTCAGCCATGGCAGGCATTTGGGGAATGAACCAGTGGATGGGAGTTGGCTCTCTTTCTCTCTGCCTCACAAATAAACAAACATCTTAAAAATAGTAATAGTAATAACAGTCATTAATATTTACAGCCTTGAAGGGAGACGTGTTCTCATGGAGAAAGGAAAGCCTTTTACACATCAGGTCTGAGTTTCGCGCCTGCTGGGGGCGAAGCTTCATTCTGAGCCATGGGAATTCAGCCACAGCTTTTAAAAATACCCTCTGCAGAACTTGTATGCTAATAGCAACAACGGACAGAAAGCAAATAGACACATTTATTTGTCAGGTCAAGACAAGTACTATTTTAAAAAAAAGCAATAACCCGGTCAGAAGGTAAGGAGTGGGAGTGACGAGGGAGCACGCTGAGAGACAATGGACTTGGTGCTCAGTTATCCAGGCCCTTGACATATAGGGCTGCTGAGGGCGTGAGTGTGAGGCCTCACAGTTAAGAGGCCCATGTCAGAGTACCTGGATTCCATTCCTGGCCTCAGCTCCCGGCTCCAGCCTCCTGCCGATGCAGACCCTAGGTGGCAGTGGTGATGGGCACTTGGGAGGCCTAGATCGAGTTCCTGGCTCCTGACTCTGGCCCCACTCCCTTACCCACTCCCTCATTGCAGGCATTTGAGGAATGAAACAGTGGATACAATCCTGCCTGCCCCCATCTCTGCCTCTCAAGGATAAATAAATAAAGGGCTGCTAGATAAAATACAACCAATCCATGAAATTAAATAAGAATATATATATATAAATATATATATATATATGCACACACACAGAGAGAG